GACGACCTGGCTACGCAGCGGTCGTCACAGGGTTACACCTTCAGCCTTGGCTCTGGTTCTGTCTCGTGGCGGTCCACCCGCTCTTCCTCTGTTCTCGGCTCTAGTTGTGAGGCTGAGATCTACGCCACAGCCATGGCTGCACAGGAGTTACGCTGGCTCACCTACCTGCTGACTGACTTGGGAGAGCGGCCTAGTTCTCCTCCAGTTCTGTACGGTGACAACAAGGCGGCTCTTGCCTTGTGTGAGGAGCACAGACTGGAGCACAGGACGAAGCACATTGCTCTTCGCTACTTTCTTGCTCGAGAGCTTCAGCAGCGCGGTCAGCTTCGGCTTGTGTACGTGGACTCGAAGGCCAACACTGCTGATATCTTCACCAAGGCGCTCCCGCCTAGTGATCATCAGCGGCACTGTACTTCTTTAGGCCTTGTGTCCACGTTTCCTCACTTGCTCACTGCTTGACATTCTTTGTACTGTACTTTATATATATCTTGTTGCTTGCTTGCTAGGTTTTGATCACTGTGTTGTTTGTCTTGTACTATATCTAGCACTGCATGTGAACTGGCCTTGTGGCCTTTACTTGTGCTCGGAGTGTGGTGACGTTGTGATCCACCCTGGGCTTTGCTTTGCTTTGCTGGACTGGTCTTGTGACCCTTTGTTCTCCCCCACCTTGCCTATGGGGGTGTGTTAAACTGTATTATGCTTGTAGGCTGTAGTGGGGTAGCCAATATGGGGTACAACCCCAACTAGGGTTTGCTACTTGTACCCAATTCTTCCATTCAATACACCATTCTTGCCTAATTATTCTGAGATCTGTACTGTGATCTTTATATATATACCTGCATGTTTACTCCTGCTAGGTTGTGATCATTGTACCTCTTGCTCTATTATAAACCTGTATGTGAACTGGTCTTGTGACCGCTTGCTTGTGCTCAGAATTTGTGTGGAATCCTTGAGATCCACCCTGAGCTTGTTTTGCCTTGCTCTGCCTTGACTGGTCTTGTGACCCCTTGTTCTCCCCACTTTGCCTATGGGGGTGTGTCAAACATTATATATGTTATGCTTGTGTAGGCTACAGTGGGTTTGCCCATACGAGGTACACAATTCTAGGGTTAGGTACTTGTACTGTTTTGGACTGTTAGTTCATCATTCCTGTTCGTTCTTTCCGACAGAAAGGAATACTGGTGAGAGGGAGGAAGCAAAATTTTTTGGTTGGAGGTGTGGTCTGCTGATGTGGCGATAATTGAGGTTGGGAGTTGATAGGGTGGACGGTTAGTCTGGTTTGGTGTGCTGACGTGTAGATAAGGGGGGGTGGGGATTGATTGACTGTTTACAACAATGACAACGATTGGTTGTTAGAATCTGTTTGGCTCACACGTCAGACTGTAGAACTTGTTCCGTACAGATTATACCCAAAACGAAAACGTAGTATCCAGATATACATCTTCGCTGGATTTCGTGGACTTGTTTTGTTTCGTTAAATTTGTTGTTCCCATCTAAAAGTCATTGTTACTAGACGTCACCGCTTTCAACCACGCGGAACTGCGGACGCGACATTCGAGACACTTTCGCGTGACTTTTTTTAGCGGACAAACTGACGTTACCACTGTCGCCCAAGTATCCAAACGGGTGTGCAGTTTTTTAGCAACCCATCGCAACTTTCTGGCAACATTTTCGCAGAAAAACCTTCGGACCCCCAAATTCGACATTTTTCTTTTCCGCGATGCCAGAGAGCGATTGGCACGGTGCTTTCTGCCGGCCGGAGAGAATACTCCACTGGCGGGCTAGCAGGCGTTCCTCGTGGCGGCGCCAGCCGATCTCCGCCGGCCGCCGTGACGGTCCCCGCATGCGGCTGCAGCACGCCGAGCCGGGGAGCGGCATGGCTCTGCGCGAAGAGATGGATAAGGCGAGACGCGCGGGAGTTGTGCACACGATGCATCCGCGCGGGGGACGGCGCAGACGGATGCGCAGATGGGGCGGGTAACGCGGACGGGGCGGATAGCGCGGACGGGGCCGACGGCTGGGTGGACGGGGTTGATGTGAGATACTTGGCGCAAGTGGCGAGTAGGAGAGGAACGAGCGAGACTTGAGTCAGCTGGGAGAGTGAGCGACAGGGACGTAATATAGTACTGAGATTCGGAATTTCGCGAGGGAACGACGCGCGGCATTCCATTTTGACCCTGCGCCTTTCGAGCCACGACGTTCCCTTCGCGGATGCCGTCCATAGTAAACGCCTCGCTACCCACTGCATCCCAAAAATATTTTCGAGGGGGTTGGGGTAGCAAGGCATGAAGTAGGGACTCCCAAACATTGGCCATAGTGTGTGTGATGTATGTGCGCTGCAGCTACATTCTATTCGAACCACCTCGTACGAACCATGCTTGCCGAGCCTACCCAGATGTAGACTCGGTAGCTTGTACAGCCTCAATAGTGGCTACTGGGTGTATACTTTGACGAGGGGGCGAAGCCAGGATGTTCGAGCGTACATTGCTGAAGGGTTTCTAAACCTACATACGAACCACCAAGCATGTACTTCGGCTTGGCTTTGCCAGAAAAAGTTGGATTCGTGACCGTCAATCAGACACTCACTGAACGGTATCGATCAGAATACCGAACTTGATTGTTGAAAACCGTCGATCTTCATTTCATTGGATAGTCGAGATTTGGGCTGTCTCACCCTCTACTCCTGCAAACCAAGCGAGAGTACAATGGGTTGGAAAATCAACCGTCAATCTCATTAAATGTTGGATGGCTACGATCAGGCGAAGCTACACATCACTTTTTGCCACGTTGGGCAAGAAAGGTCTCGTGATTGATTTTACTGCTTTGAGTGATTGGTTAGCAGCTGATAGCCGTCGATTTCTGGTGCAATCAAAGGCCACGATGGAGAGATGAAACGAGCTGGCAGAAGGTACTGAACCCCAGTTTCCGATTGGTTCAAACCCAGATTTCGGCTGAGGCACACACGCATAACTGACTACTACCTCCAACACCCAACCTTCATTTCCTCATTTCTTAGCTTCAAGGCTGCTCTCGTTCCCTGCTCTCATATCTTAGTTCCCTGCTCTCATTTCTTAGTTCCCTGCTCTCTGGGGAAACCTACGAGACCACGCTCCTGCTCTTCGTTCACCTTGAAATCATGAGCGCTACTTGTTAAATTTCCGTCCTTTGCTTCTCCCGTTTGTCGTGGCAGAAGGCGATATGGGCGCGATTTGCCCGTGGCGATATGGGCGTGGCGATCTAACGTGGCGATATGGGCGTGTCGATGTAGGCGTGGCGATTTGGCGTCGCGATATGTGCGTGACGATTCTGGCGTCGCGATATGGGCGTGTCGATTTGGCCTTGACGATAAAGGCCTGGCGATTTGGGCGTGGCAATATGAGCGATGGCTGCTGGCTGCGGTAGGCGAATAGCTTTACGTTGGCTATGTGTGAGTTTCCAACTGGGGTTGTGCTTATTCATTATAAAGTGTCTGTTTTCTGTTCAGCTAACCTGAACTTCTGGGACCAGGCCTGGTCCCGCAACACTAAAGGTACTTTTACTACTTGTCTCGACGTTGCAGGATTATGGTGCGAGATGTGTTATTATCTTTTTTTATAAGCAGTTTCGTTCAGTATTTTTAGGGAAGTGGTGGCTGAACCCTGGTAAGTGCTTTTCGCTGTGTTAATTGTCGATTTCTGACTCTTGTTTCGTTTGTGTTTATCGCTTGTTGCTCTAATGTTCAGTTAAGGGATTAGGAAGTCTGTATTAGTATAATGTATAGTTGTAACGTTCTATATAAATATTGGATTTCACTGGAAGCACAATCACGCTTCTGTTACTTTTTGTAACCTTGATAACAGTCACCAAATGGGTCACTAATCAACAATGTAACAGTGTAACATTGTAATTGTGTATAACAGTTACATGAATGGTGCTGGTTTTTATGTGAGCCCTTAAAGCCCCTCTGTATATACCATGTGTGTAGTCAGGAGCTACATTTCAGATATAACAATGTACAGGTGTAGTCCCGAGCTCGTCGTAACCTATAACAGGGCACTGTACTATGGACTACACATGTAGCATGTCCCAACTCTCGCGAAGGGAAGTGGGAGCAGAGCACATCCAATCTAGCGACAGTATCGGGAGTGAGGGAGTCTGGGGCTAGTAAAAAAACCTGTAAATACGTTGTTTCCGACAACATTGCGCACGCAATGGAAGTAGATAGCAAATATGCGGTAGGTACTTTGTGGAGTCGCCCCAATGTTTTATCCAGTGGATCAAAATGAGGGTGTGTGTTTGGCGCAGCAGAATGCACAGCCCACAGGCGTTACAGTCCCGTCGCAACCCCGTTTCGTACCATCGAATTGACGTCGACTCGACGGACGTCCTAGCGAGCCGACTCGGCGCCGACATGCACGGGGCATGTACTGTACATCTATCAACATCGGAAACAAACGGACAAAAACAAGGCGTGCCCACACCATGCACGCAGTCGAGGCGGGTTTAGTTGTGACTCGTCTGTAAGTCACTCGGTAAGTGTACAAAAGAAAGGAAGAGGTTTGGTTACACTCATACCCTGGCAAGTGTTCACCTTACTCTATGACTTAATAATTCGTGATTGACTAAACGTGGCAGTGTTATGGAAACAACGCACATCATGTAAAGTGCATGGAGGTTTGCACTGTTAGGAGGAACTCACTTTGTGAAACTATTGTTCCAAAAAGGGATCTTGCACTACCGCACTTGAAGCATTTTCCTTCGTGGCAGCACTTGGAACTTGCTGCAGCCCAGCTACAATCCCTCTGCGAAAGAATGCCAGCAAATACAGGCAAACACAGCAGCAGCTTGTTAAACCGTTTGATACGACATGACCAACACCTACAATTGCAGGTCGACTGTCCCGCAGGCCCAGCTGTGCGATACCACGGCTGTACGAGTCCCAGTTCTTCCGCCTCGAATTCTTGAGCAAATTGCACCGTTTGAGATGCCACGGACCTCAACAAAATACACTCAGTCAACGGCTAAGATTGCAGGTCCACTCGATCCCGCAGCCCCAGCTCCGCAATGACATGGCAGTACGAGTCCCAGTTCTTCCTCCGCAGATACTTGAGCAGCTTGCGCCGCCGTGCCAGCATTCCATCTAGACCCCGCCGTGAGTGCAGGTCCTGTAGGCAGGGGGGGGGATGCTGAGTGTTTGCTTGTGGCGCAACACTCCTTAGTGCAGATGATGAGGGAATGGGCTTAATTGCAGATCAGGAAAAAAAGTGCGCATGCATATCCTGAAGAAGGGAAGAGGGATGCTGAGTGCAGGTCCTGACAAAGAGGGAGAAGAACGTGTTTGATCAGATGAATGCACCCATGGAGTATTCATCGTGCAGAGAAAACAACTTCTGATCATACAGCTTACTCGCATGCCGAAGGGGCAACGAACGAGCATCGGAAGGCACTCACTCACCTTCTTGTGCGTTTGAAGGTGTTGGGCCATGTCGGCAATGCGCGAGGTGAGCAGCGCTACTGTTGGTTGCACACCCATGCAGATGGAGAGAGGAGGGCAGTGGCAGAGGGAGAGAATGTCGGAGAGTGGAGGGGCGACAGAAAGATGGTAAAACCGGGCTGAAATTTGTGAAAATTCAGTTGAAACGGCTTAGAAACTGGTTGATAGGAAAACAATGCTGGAAAAGAGGAATAACAATTTGACTCACTCACACACCACTTGTAATTTCCTTCCAACACGCATTTTCTGACCCCCTTACTTGCACCTGCACTACCTCACTCAAGTACCCTCCCTCAATCCCTTTGAACCCAATATTCCACTTTTGCAGTCTGGTCGGAACTGCTCATTCACTCCCAATCCCTCCCTCACTCACTCTCACTCCCTCCCTCACTTACTCCCTCACTCCCTCGCTCACTCACTCTGTACTTCACTGGACCCTGTATTCCCCTCGTGCACTCTGATCCGCTCCCTCACTCCCTCACTCTGCACTTCACTCGACCCTGAGTCCCCATTGTGCACTCTGAATCGCTCCTTCAATCCCTCAATCACCCCCCTCACTCACTCCCTCTCTCACTCACTCTGCACTTCACTCGACCCCGTGTCCCCCTCGTGCACTCTGAACCGCTCCCTCACTCCCCGCAGCTCCTCCTGCCGCCGCTCCTCCGCTGACATCAGCGATGGTTGCATGTACTGGGGAGGGGGAGGGGGGGGGGTGGGAGGGAACGGGGTGTTGAGGGGGGAAAGTGGGGGAATTGGTTGCAGAAAGAGAACAAAAGGTGGGGATGTAAGCAGGTACAGCTGCTGTGCTGCGCTGCGCTGCCTTCACTCCCCGCAGCTCCTCCTGCCGCCGCTCCTCTGCTGACATCAGCGATGGTTGCATGTACTGGGAAGGGGGGGGGAGGGGAGGAGGGGGGAGAGGTCGGAGGGGAGGAGAAGGGAAAAGCGCAATCAAAACGAAGAAGGGGACGTGAGCAGGTACAGCTACTGCTTTCATCCCCCGCAGCCGATGCTGACAGCAATGATAAGTGCACGTGCTGGGAGGGGCGAGGGGGGGTGTGGGAGGGACGGAGGAGGGAAGGCGGGGGAAAAAAGGGGGTGAGAAGTCGGGAAAGGGGATGCCCAACCAAAGCAGAGGGAGGGACGTGTGCCTACTCTCCCTCAGCTGCAGGGACGCACAGTTACTGCCTTCGCTCCCTTTGAGTCTTGTCAAAAGGAATGTGAGCAGGCAGAGTTGCTGCCTTCACTCCCCGCAGCTCCCTCCTGCCGCAGCTCCCTCCTGCCGTGCCGCTGCTGCTCTGCTGACAGCAGCGACGGGTGCACGCACTGGGGCAGGCGGAATGTGGCGTGGAAGGGGGGAGAGAGGGGAAAAAGGGGGAGAGGAGGGGAAAGGGGGACTGGGGGAAAGGGGGAATGGGGGAAAGGGAGGAAGGGGGTGTACGAAACGGGGAGCCTATGGACTCCTCGCACCTCCCACCCCTACCTCCCATCGCCAAGCCATCTTCCCACCTCCCTTCCTCCCACCTCCCTTCCTCCCACCTCCCTTCCTCCCACCTCCCTTCCTCCACCTCCCTTCCTCCCACCTCCCTTCCTCCCACCTCCCTTCCTCCTACCCCCTACTTTCCATCCTCGCTGCGGACCCCCAGAGGAAATCGATTTGACCGCCCCATCTCTTCTAACCCCCCCGCCTTCCTTCCCCCATCATTTCCACCACCCTTTCCTCCCTCCCTCTCCCACCCCCCCTCCCTCTTCCCCCCCCAGTAAGCACCTTTTCCAAAAGATCCAGCTTCGGCCGCGCTACAGGCGGGCGCGGGCGGAAGTTCCGCCCGTACGCGCGCGGATCCCGCCCGTACACCCGATGATCCCCGTCACCCCGCGCGCCCCCTCCGTACGTCCGCGCGTCCCCCCGCGCCTCTCCGTCCGCTCCGCTCCCCGCCTCGGATCCGCCAGCAGGGCCCGCGAACGGCGGCGGAGTGAGGTCGGGCGCTGTGAACCATGATCGCAGACGCGGCAGAAGTGGTGACTGTGCGACGTCGCCTGCGACTGCTGGCGACGAGGGGGATGATCCTGCAACAGGTAAAAGGAGATCGACAGTGCAAAGAAAAACGAGCAGACAATAAAGAATCAACTGCGTGAAGAGAAAAGACAACTCGGATTTAAACGAGATGAAGACTCAACAGTATAAAGATATTCATATCGCGTTTTAGTCACCTGCGCCAGGATCTGCCTCAACAAAAGAAGACGAATGGAAGCGCGAGAGCCCAGCGGCAGGCCCAGTCACACGCAGCGGCTCGGAATGAGGCGAGGAGGCGGAGAGAGGAAGATCGGACGAGGAACAGAGAATGCTCGCTATGCGCTGCGAAAGCTGCGAATCGAACAGCGACCCGGATGCGGACACGCCGCGAGAAACGGCGGAACGGCAGCACACCGCAGCCATGGTTGAGGTGCTATTTGCGCTAAGTTTCGTTCGAAACAGTAAATTGCTTCTCTGCCACTTTCTCATCTATTGTATCACTCAAAACTGTTTGCACGTATTAGCACAAACTCGATTTACATGTAGCAGCACTTTCCGAAGTGTATTGATTCGCTATACTGCTCGCCCATTACAGGATGTCTATGCAGTTCATTTTTTTTACATCTCGATCTGTTACGGTTTCCAACGGTGCAAATGCACGCTGCGAAAGCGCACATCAACGGACAAATCTGTCGGTCATCTGGCATTTCCGAAATGGGCGACATGTGTCGCAGCCCATTTCGCAGTTCACCCGAGACACCACCACGGCAGGCTTCTTTCCAGGGTCGACGGACTTTAGTGGACAAGTCGCGGTTGATTACGTTTCTGAGTGGCGAAAATGTTTCGTACCACATCGTCGACCCTGACAACCTTTGGAAGGAACCAATAATTGTCAAATCTATCCATGGCTTCCGCACCGCACCCACCATTTCCTCCTTCCAGCCAGAACTTCCCTGTCCATAATTGCGGAATCCAAAACCTTTTCTCATAACGCATAGGATCCGCAACAAAGCCTAGACCCGAACACCGGAAATTATTGGAGCGACTTGTCCATGTGTCGTCATGACACGGCTTGTGCCCCCCCCGCCATGTCCAACACACTCCATCCCAACCGAGCCCATAATTGCGAAAGCCTCGTCCCACGACAACACCAACTCGGAGTTTCCGAACGGCAGGCATTGCACGAGCCGCGGTGGTTTCGCAGACGCCAAAATTATACGAGCGGCTGAGGAAATTTTAGGCGCCACGGCTCGGGCAGGTCGTTCCCGACACGCTCGCGCGTCAACCCGTTTTCGCGGTAGCATTGGAGTCGACCCAAATGGCAGCAGCAGATGCATTTATACGCGCGCTGCCACTCCTTAACCATCTCTCGTTCTCATG